CCCCAGCCACCCTCCTCTCTTCCTTACCATTTCGTCGCAGGAGGGTGGCTGGGGATGATGGGCATCGGCTGCCTCTCTTCAGGCTGTGTCCTCCTTCCCGCGCGGAGTAAGGTGGGAGGAAGTGACCGGACGTCACTTCCTCCCAGCAGCACTTGCTTCCGGCTGCATTTTTTTTTTTTTAAAGGGGCCCGGTCGCGCTATTACAGCGCTAAACGGGCCCCTGAAGATAATAGGGCCCATTGGGTGGCCCTAAATGATTGGGCCACCTGATGGGCCCCATCAGCGTGTGGGCCCCGGTGCAGATGCACCGGCGGCAGTTCCGCTGATCCACGTGGGGCCCGGGCGGCCGGGCCCCCCAGGGCCGCCGGGCCCGTGACAATTGTCACGGTTGTCATGCCCTGATGGCGGCCCTGTGTGTCTGTACTAATGGGATTATGTGTCACACTAAGGGGAGGAGATGTGTGGGAGGTAACTGATACATTATTGGCTGGGGTACTAATTGTTTTGGATCCCTCCCTTGCATGGGAGAATGTCTTAAAAGGAGGTTGTGTGAATAAACCTACAGTTCCTGCTTAACCCTCAAAGTGAAGTGTCGTCTCATTATTGGGGAAGGATTTATTGTATGCTGTTCCAGTTTGACTGCTAGGAGTCTAACCCATCCATATGGTTTTTGCCTATTCAGCTGTTTATAGCATTCATATGCTTGAGAGAAGGTATACGCTTCTCTGGTTCGGTGATTGTGGTGTCTGCCAGAGTGCTTGGAGTCCTCAGGAAACGCTAGGAGCATCCATCAACAGAGGTACCCAGTCGGGGTGCCAGGTGATCCGTTACATTGGTGGCAAGCGGTGGGATGGCGTCCTGGTGTGAGAGGAACAGCAACCTGGAGACACAGGAATTTTTATAGAGCGGCATAGAGCCAGCGAGTCCCTGGACAATGCCCGAGGTGGAATTTAACCGGAGGGTACAGAACCTCTTGGCCCCAATGGATAAGCCAATAGGAGAGGCAACCAGGTTGGACTGCAGAGAGGGTGCCCGACAAGAAATGTGGGAAGAAACCCTAGTGGGTGTCCAGCGTTGGCGAGGTGTATGGCTTCCCAGCAAGGAGCAGCGACTACAAGCCAGAGTGGCCCTACGGATGCCTATGCTGGGAGACCAGCCCTGGGAGGAGTTGGTGATACAGCTTGATTCACTGGCATGGAGGGAACTGGATCTCGGGGATGCGTACCAAGCACTACGCTGGTACGCGGTGCAGTGTTTTCCCGGAATGGCTAAGTTCGACAAACCAGAGGGCAAGGATTACAATGGCCCTGGTTTATTGTGGGGGGCCTTTGCAGAGCCGGACTTTGGGAGTGCGGACGAGTCATGGCTTTGGGACATATTTGCCTACAGAGAGGCCATGCTGGACCTCCCTATGGCTGAGGACCTAAGGCCAGACCTGATCGCATTGGCCATCAAGGAATGGGAACTGGAGCAGGAGTACCAGCACCTGATCAGCTCCAGTCAGTCATCCTATACCCTGCAGGTACCACCAGAGCAGGGGGAGTTTGAACAGGATTATGACCTTTTACTGGGTACAGCAACACTGCCTAGTTCTAACCTGATGTTGATTATGGACGATACATCATTAGGAGCGGTGAGTGGCGTCCCTTTTCCCCAACCACTAAGCCTGTCATCAGGAGACCTGGGGTCTGTACCATCTACTCCCCAACCAGCCCCAGAAATGAGGGACCTCATAGACTGGTCCTGGGAAGACCCACAGATGGCAGGTAGAGATGGGATGGCTGTCTCTCTACCGGCCCTACAGGGATTCTGGGCAGTCGGCCCAGATCCCCAGCGGCAGGGTGAAGTGCAGGGAGTGGAGAACATCATCTCCCCTCCCCAGCGGCAGTGTGTCTTGCAGGGAGAGGAGAGTAGCGTCGTTCCTCCCCAACAGCAGGGTGAGCTACAGGGATGCTGGGCGGTCGGCCCAGATCCCCAGCGGCAGTGTGTTTCATTGGGAGTGGAGAGCAGTGTCCTCCCTCCCCAGCGGCAGCATAGCCCACAAAGGGGAGACAGTAAGCCCCACAACAGTGCAGATGGGACCGTAGTCTCTGCACCTGCACCACCCAGCGGAAGGACAGTCTGTCCTGCTTCCCAACAGCATGACCGTTTAGCCAAAGGGGAGACAGTCTGTCCTCCCCTCCAACAGCCAAGTGTGGTGTTGGGAGAAGAGACAGGTGGTCCCTCTTCCCAGCGGCAGAGTGCCTTACAGGGAGGGGAGACAACTGGTTGCCCTCCCCAGCGGCTGAGCCTGTTATGGAAAGGGGAGATGGCTGGTTCCCCTTCTCAACAGCGGGACAATGTATTGGAAGGGGAGACAGTCGTTTTTCCCCTACAACAAGAGAGGGTGTCGCAGGGAGAGGAGCCTGTTACCCCCTCTCCCCAGCGGCAGCCTAGCCCACCAAGGGGAGACAGTAAGCCCCACAACAGTGCGGATGGGACCGTAGTCTCTGCACCTGCAACACTGGAGATATGGGCAGTATGTCCTGGTCCCTAACAACAGGACAATGTGTTGGAAGAGGAGGCAGTTGGTTTTCCCCCACTACAAGAGAGGGCGTCGCAGGGAGAGGAGCCTGTTACCCCTTCTCCCCAGCAACAGCTTTGTCCACCCAGAAGGGAGAGCACCCTGGTTACTTTTCCACCCGACTATGGATTTCCAACTGGGCACATGTGGCAGGAGAACACCGGGACAGCTACACCGGGTGAGAAAGCCCGACCGACTATCAGAGCCCCAGACCAACTGGAGGTCTGGAGTCTGGATAGTCTCAATGGGAAAGGGGAGAAATGTGGCGGAACCCGCCTCGCCACTGGACATTGGAGAGGCCTGACTGCCCGCCTCCTACCTGCTGACTATGGCCCCTGGTAAATTTGTACTTTTAATGCAATATTTGGGCATGTGATATTGTATATTGCTGCTACTGGCCCTTTAAGGGCCACCCGGGGACATATTATGACTTTTAGGAACAATACCCCTTTAAGACTTGGTAGCAGATTACAGTAAGGATGTCTTTTATATTATGTATGTTTCTGTGTGTTCGGCTAAAGTGTATATGTGTATGCAGCATTCCCCTGATTGTTCGGTAGAATCACTCCATTCATTATATTAAGTGAAACTACCGAACAACCAGTCCACCCGGGAGTAAGTGTGCCTCCAATTACCGTTTGCAACAATGTTGCAAACGGGTAATTGGCAATCAATGTAATGTGTGGTTTTGTCCTCTGGGTGGCCGCCATTCGGGAAACGAACACGTGGTGGCAGCCATCTTAAACTCCCGAACAGCGGTGTTTTGCCGTCGAGTGTCTGGAACCAAAATCGGACACTCGACTAGGCAAACACCGCTGAGACCTCCAGACTTCCATGAATTTGTGTGGAAACTACCAAATGACCCGCCGTTTGGTAGAAAGAACCCCACAAACAAGGGAATTCGTTTAAACCCTCCCCAGGCTCTATAACCCAGGCAATCCGTGTGTTTCCATTCCCTTTTCTGTGACCGACTGCAGGGCCAAAATACATGGAACTATTTTCGGATACTTTTGCCATGCAGTCGGTCAAAACTTTACCCCCCATAATTCCTGAACCCCTGGTCCGATCTGGGTGATTTTTGGATATGTGTCTCACCCAGATCAGGGCTACCAGGGGATGTAACATTTAAAGGGGTAACCCTATGTTTAGGGGTACATCCAGTAACCCAGGGAATTTGTGTCTGTACTAATGGGATTATGTGTCACACTAAGGGGAGGAGATGTGTGGGAGGTAACTGGTACATTATTGGCTGGGGTACTAATTGTTTTGGATCCCTCCCTTGCATGGGAGAATGTCTTAAAAGGAGGTTGTGTGAATAAACCTACAGTTCCTGCTTAACCCTCAAAGTGAAGTGTCGTCTCATTATTGGGGAAGGATGTATTGTATGCTGTTCCAGTTTGACTGCTAGGAGTCTAACACATCCGTATGTTTTTTTTCCTATTCAGCTGTTTATAGCATTCATATGCTTGAGAGAAGGTATACGCTTCTCTGGTTCGGTGATTATGGTGTCTGCCAGAGTGCTTGGTGTCCTCAGGAAACGATAGGAGCATCCATCAACGGAGGTACCCAGTCGGGGTGCCAGGTGATCCGTTACAGACTGTAAGCTTGTTTAAGCAGGGACCTCTTCAACTTATCATTCCTGTAAGTTTTCTTGTAATAGTCTTTTTTATAGTTAAATCCCCCCTCTCCTACTATTGTAAAGCGCTATGAAATCTGTTGGCGCTATATAAATGGCAAATATAATAATTTTATTAATTACAATTTGAGAGACTTGCCTGACAACCCAGGCAGAAAGTCCAGAGAATTTGGTTCACAAGCCCTAAATGTAATGCTGTAACTTTCCAAGACACTATAATACCTGCAAAAGTAGACAACCCAAGGTATTGCAAATGGGATATGTTTAGTCTTTGTTAGTAGCCACTTAGTCACAAGCACTGTTTACTTTTGCAAATGGTATGCTATCATGGGGGTAATTCTAATTTCTGGGCTACCATATGGTCTCAAAGGCAACATAACCAATCTTGCAAATTTCAATGTGTATATAATGAACAATGTAACATGCTATATTTGACCCTGTAACTTTCCAAAAACACCATAAAACCTGTAAATGGAGGGTACTGTTTTACTTGTAAGACAGCGCTGAATACAAATATGTGTACTTTTTTGCAGTAACAGCTAACAGTATTGTGACATTCACAGTTAAAATGCCATGCAGAACTAAAAAAATAACAAAATGTCTTAATTTGTTCATTTGTTTAAATTTTATTCATAGTAAATTATGTTTTATATATAAATATTGGATGTGACATGATAGCCCTATTTATCCTGAACAAAATGATATATACTCTGTGTAGGTGCATTTAATATTTAAAAAAAAAAGTGAATTATGGGTGAACAGACATATCGCAAATTCAAGGTTTTGTTTTGATCACAACTTGTACAATTGGCTCAGTCCTTAATGAGTTAATAGAGCTGTGCAAAAGCAAATAGCAGCAAACTATGATGAATTGAAGCAACGTTGTAAAGAGTGGGCCAAAATCCCCCCACCATGATCTGAGAGACATATTAAGTCTAACAGAAAACAATTACTTCAAGTTATTCAAGCGATTCTACAAGCTTTTGAATCATAAGGTGTACTTAGTCTTTTACAAATGGCTTTCCATTTTGGCTTAACTGCTGACCCATGTAAACCTCCCGTTGCCCAATAAATACACAACACCTATATAGTGGATAAGGGCAACAGCCACAGCTTTATTGAACTGTTGAACCAGCATTAACTTACAACTGTCAGCTGATGGGGGTGATTCTTCCACCAGACAGATATCACTTTCTGTTACCAGAGGCCGAAGCAGCCT